ACAATGACACCTCTTCGCGTTGGAAATAAGCTGGCAACAGTCACGACGCCCGCAAGGCCATAGACACCCACGCCAAAGTTAGAAATACTGTTGGAGTCGCACGGGCGCAACACGGTTGTGGAAATGGCGCCACTGAAAGTCAGTGCCATCAGCAGCGCGCCAACAGTAATCAGCACGAGCCCAAGCACAAAGAGAGGCCTCACACCAAAGTAGTCGTAGACAAAGGCGTACGGTATGCCAAAGTAGACGAAAACAATGGCCACTGTGCCTACGGTTGCCATGTCCGCACGAAAAAGACACACGCAGAGGCAGCCACAGGCGCCCGCCACGAGAATGCCAAACCGAGCCAGTTCATTAATTGGCCTCGATGCATCCTCACGGGAAACATTATCATTCGCCTGCAATTTCCTGCTTCTCATCCACTGCAGTCGTACCCCGTACCCGTGTATGTTTTGAAGTAATTGTAGTTCCCCCGACAAATCATCTTTTGGGCTTCACGACGCCTCGCTTCTCTCAGCGTTGGTGCATACGAAATGCTAATGCGCTGACGGTTACAAGAACGAAAGGAACGAAAAGGGTGTGAAAGTGGTGGCAGGAAATGAGTGTGTGCACGCAAAAAAAAAAAAACGCTCAAAAACAAAGAGAAAGAAAGAAAAAATAAACACAGAGCGAGAGAGAAACAACAAAAAGGAGAGTCGTAGGCAGAGAGGCGACGCTGCCGCCCACGGCACTGGCCTTTCCGACGATCCGACCCGTCAGAGGGCACTCATGACAGCACCACACAGCTCCTCCAGGAACGCGGAGACCGACGCATCCGACCCGTAGTCCGTGCTTTTGGCCTCCTGCCTCGCCATTTCCCGCAGGCATTCGGGAAGCAGCACGTCTGCCACAGGAGTGTAACGAAACACGCCCAAAGGGGCAAGAAATCGCAACCATCGACGAACGCGCCACACAAAGTGACCTACCACTGCCGCTTTCAGCCCATTTTTTGCCTCTCGCAGAAGCCAGCTTTGCAACGCGTAGCACTGACGATACAACAACACAGACATGACAACGCAGCAAACGTCATGTACCACCAGTGAGCACGATGATGAGGAAGCAAAAGCCGAAAATAATCCCACGAACGACTTCATGTGCGGTGGCATCACAAGCACCAAGCGTGCGGTGCTGGCGGAGAGTCGGCCGTCTTGTGCTGCAGCAAATGCTGATACCAGCGTCAACGAATTGGGGGAAGTAAGAGACAGAGCAATTTCCTCCGCCGCAAAGTCAATCAATGCGTTTCGGAGCAACGAAGTTGCCAGAGCAATATCGGACGTTGTGGGGGGCATCCGTGTCTGACTGTTGTGGTTCGCACCATCTTTTCCGCTCGTACCCCGCGGGTGGGGAATCGGCTCCTCGGCGCGTGTGCGCTTGAGCCGCATCGTCAGACGAGGGGTATCTTCCCGTTTCTGTAGCCCCTCCCCCAATGCCGTCGCGGTTGCATCGACTAGCGGAGCAGAAGTGCCCCTTCTCTCCTGAGTCGTCTCCAGCGGGAGGTCGCTGCAAGCAAAGCTGTTCAGCAGAACCCGCAGTCGGGCGTCGACCTCAGCCACCTGCCGCTCACGCGTCTCCGCCTCACCGGGTGTCGCCAGGGTTTCAAGTTGCCGCCAGACACGCTCTGCTATATACAGCTGCGCAGCGGGTAGTCGAAGCGCCAACGCAGCTAAAAACGCCGAGCTGCCGCAGTGGCCCTCGCCACCACTGCATTGGTCCCCCTCTCTTATCGCCCCGTTTAGGTCCTCGAAGGAAGGCACAAAAAGTGTGACATCCGGGTGGTCCAGGGCACCACGCACGTAATGCGAAGCCATGCTGTGACCATGATAGAGCGAAAGGAGCAACCCATATGCCGCCTGAACTGCACCCGCACACTTCCGCTGCGGCTCCCCATGAGAGTCACACGCCCCGTCCATTTCAACCAGCCGCAGCCCATACATCAAGGCCCGACGCCAGGAAACATCTACCACCGCCGACGCCGACTGCAATGAAGATGATAAAAGCGGAGGCACCGAAAATGAAGAAGCCTCCTTCACAACCTCCGTCTCTGCTGGGGGAGCTTCCAGTCCTGTCATGTCGCACTCGTGCTTAATCTCGCCTAACCACATACACAACAAGGCATGCGTCAAAAACGTGGAGGGGCCCTCCAAAGTCGCCAGCTGATCCTTCTCAGCCCCGTCATCACCTACAGCACCAGCAAGGGGATGCACAAACACACGTGTTGCCAATGGCCAAAAGTCTGCACAGATCCCTTCATTCAGCAGCCCGTGCATCGTGTCAACGGTGGCATCGGCGTCCGGAGCAAAAACAAAAACGTGTCGCCATAACTCGCGCCACGTTTGTGGTACCGACAACCCCACTATTGTCGTTCGAAGGAGTTGCAGCGTGCGTGCAGGACAGTGCAGCGTAAGGTATGTGGCGAGACCCGGGGGAATGTCTTCAAGTAACCACGTATGCGGCGACGGTGACGCCACATTTGACAAATTCCACGACAGAAGCAGTGCAGACAGCAACCGTTCCGCGTCTTCTCCACGGAACTCAACGGACGGCAGGTTCCTTTCCGCAGACAAACTCTTCCTCAAGAGGGAGAGATGCGGCAAGGTGCCCCTGCTCCTTTGTGACACCATGGTTGCGTTCACATTGTCGTCAAGCGCCAGCGTCCGTTCAGCAGCCTTTATGTATAGCTCGTGACTCCGACGCACAATGGCTGCAGTGCTGTACGGTGGACTGAGCTCTTGGAAAAGAAGCTGGCGGCAGGCGCCGTGCTGGAGGCCGCCCGCGGAAATAAGTTGCAACGTCAGAGTACCCCTTTCCACAGCAGACATATAAGGCAACGCCATGCGTGCTGCTCTTTGCGCCACAAAGGATAGAACGGAATCCAGTGGGGTTCCCGCTGGTCCGTCCCCCGCTGTGCACAGTGCACAGAGCTCGGCAACTGTCTCCATTCAGCAGCCAGAAACTGCAGTGGCCCCACTCTCTCCCTTTTGCACTGAACCACCATCGTGCCCCGGTCATTTCCAACGCAAAATAAACAAAAAAGAATCCAAAGTAGCAAATAAAATAAAGAAAAACGAGGGGCACACTCCGCACATGTGTCACGGTATTGGCACGACAGCAGAAACTTAGACACTCACAGCGAGCTGAGAACACAATAGAAGAAAACAAAAAAGAGGAGCGGGAAAAATATATATCCTATTTGCACCTTCTACCTGCGTTGATTCCGCAATGCAGGCATGTTCATACGTAATTTGACATGCATATGCATACGAAAACAAAATGCTTTGGCGCTTCCTAAAATAAATGTGCAAAATCCTCCCTCCCTCCCCCCCCCCGTGCCTCGCAAAGAAATACAACAAGTATAAAAAAGAAAAACAAGTGCATCATCAATCCAATAATAATGGTAATGTCTACTTTTTCTTATAGTGTCCCAATGTATCTCAGTAGAACATTCGTAATGAATGAAACGGAACACCACAGTGAAACAAAACAAATCAACCCTTTCTCTTAGCAACGCAGTCTCTTCTGCTCTCATCTTTCCCGCAACGGTGTCACAGCTTCCGGAAGTACTCTATCAGGAGTGCAGGACCGAAACCTGTGGCCTTGTCATCCTCAAACACTGGAAAAGCCATATCCACGTGGATATGCTTGCCCTTGAAGTCCGGACTGAGATGACTGGCAACAAAGTGTCCGGCGCACGACACACCAGCGTTGTTAGTCTGCTTCATTAAGTTGCGCATATCCGCAACGGGACTTTTGAACTCTGGAGCATGGTACTCCGGACAGTACAGCACAGGGAAGCACGTCTCGCCAGACTCCTTGCCTGCCTTCAAGAAGGTCAATTCGGCCTCCTCGTCGTTCACAAAAAGGCCTGCATGTTTGCGGCCAGTGGCAATACCCTGTGCACCCGTTAACGTGGCCATGTCAACAACAACCTCTGGCGTGAAGGGAAGCTCATGAGTCGCGTGAAAGACGCCGTCGCCGAGCACAATGCGACCCTCAGCGTCGGTGTTATTCACTTCCACCGTCTTGCCTGACTTCAACGTTACAACGTCGTCGTTGCGGTACGCATGGGGCCCCACCGCATTCTCGGCCAGGCACATGGTGCAACTTAGCTCAAGTGGCTGCTGCAGACGCACAGCGGTGAGAAAACCACAAAAGATCGCCGCTGCACCCCCCATGTCGCGCTTCATCCCTGTCATAAAAGCAGGTGGTTTCAGCGCCAAGCCGCCACAGTCGTAGACAATACCCTTACCGACCAAGGCGACCTTCGCCTTTACCGTAACCTTGGGTTTATACAGAAGCGTTACAAGCCGCGGTGCCTCTGCCGCACCTCTTCCCACAGAATATATGCCGCCGTAACCCCGTTCGCGCAGCTCCTCGCCACAAATGACGTCAATGGCACAACCCAGCTCCTTGGCATAGGCCTGCGCCACCTCCGTAAAGGTGGCGGTGTTAAGCAGATTCGTCGGTGCATCCACAAGGCGTTGGCAAAGCTGGGTCGAAGTGGCAATAACAGCCAATTCGTCTGCTGGCGGGTTGGGGGCAACCGGGAACACCACAGTGAGACGCACACTGTCGGCACAGTACCCCTTCGTAGCCAGACCCTCCTTGGCGGTGAAGTTGCGGCGGGCGCTTCGCGCCACTGCCACCGCCATTGCGACGGCTGCGGTTGAACGGACAAATATATCCACCTTTGTCTCCTTCCCCTTTACCTCCTCAAGGGCTGTGGAGACAAGCGAGGCGACCACGTCAGGTCGGGCAGGACAGTTGTTGCGGGAGGCCTCAGATGGCACCTCACCAACCACCACACGCACAAACCTCTCTTTTGCCTCATTATTAAGACCCTCCGCGAGTACCGCGTAGGTATCCCCCTTTTTCACACGTTCAATCGCCTCAGCTACGGCAGGGCAGTAGAATGGAAGCTCCTTCACTGCATCTTCCCGTAATTGGGCATGCGTGCCAAGGAGAACAACAAACGGCGATGCGAGACCTGTTGCATGGCTCGCCTTGTACTGGGCAATGTCGGTGAACGCGACATTGGTCACAAATTTTACGCACGACTGGACAAAGTCCGCCCCAGCGTCAGCACCAGGAAGCGTGGACATCAAATAACAATACCTCTTCCCTCACCTCTTCCGTCAAGTTACCAGAGCCCTTGCAGCCACACCTTCAATATACTCGCCAAATCAAATCTCACTGCACCATTTGTGGTGCAGTGACAACGCAAGTACAATAAAAAAGAAAAAGCAACAGAAACAGAAACAGAAACAAAACAAAACAAGAACATAAGGTAAATAGAGGGAAAACACAACAGAAGCAACGTTTAATGGAAGTGAGACAAGTAACTCCGCATCCTCCTCTGGCCTCCCCTCCACTCCCCGTCGCGGTTCGTACATCGGCGAAGAACAAAAGCAGGCGCAATGCGCCCGTGCAGAAGCAATAATAATCTGAAAGTCGATTCTCCACCTCTTTCATGTGACCACACACAGCGAGAGACAGAGAGAGAAGAACGCCACTCAGGCCTCACCGCCTCTCTCACCTCGCACTCGGGAGGCGTCACCTTCGCGGGGCGCCCGCCACAACACGCCGCTCGTGACGAAACAACGCAGCAACAACAGAATGAAAAAAGTGTCAATGAGAGAGGGAAGGAAGGCACGCACACACACACACACAACAAAAAAAAAAGCACTCACCTGCGTCCATTTTTACGCCAAAGACAAATCTCGATAAGAGAAAAATATACAGCCAAACAAACATTAAAGAAAAATTAGTAAAACGCCCGCTGCCCACCACGATGATGCCGCAAAAATACAGCACATACGCACAGGGAAAAAAAATATATAACAACATGCTAAGAGCCAGCATGAAAGCATCATTCTGTGATAGACCGGAACAGTGATTTTTTAAAAAAGAGCCCTCCTCTCCCCCTCGCACCCCCCCCCCCGCTCTCTCTCTTTCTCCATCTCCTCCTCTCCCCATCCCTAAAAGAATAATAAAAAAAAAGCACCAACCAAAAACAAAAATGTATTCGTTCACTCACCAACACGAATGTTCTCTGAGCATGTGATGTTGGCCCTGCTGTTGTTTTGTTATTTATTTATCCTTTCTTTTCCTTGCACTATGTTTCCACGTCGTCTTTTTCATCCCTTGATCATGCCTGCATGCTTGCCTCTCCTGCGCTGTGATACAGGCTTCCGGTGGTAGAACGATGTGAAGAGCGTCACAGTTTTTTGAGTGTCTTCCTGCCATTTTGTGTTTCCCAGGACAAATGTTCATCAAGTTAAAACAAAGCTCAAAATAAATAAAATAAAATTTATGGCCACACACAGACACAAGTGATGTTTTATTAATGTTTCCTCTGAAAGGGAGCTGGGCGGTGTATTTTGTTTGTTGTTGTTTTCATCTCTCTGGCGCCATGCAAGGCACACCGACAGCAGTGAAAAATCAAAACAAAACAATTAAAAAACAAGGCAAAAAAAAAAAACGTTTACCGTCATAATCGATTGCGTGACTTCATGCGACGACGTTCCATCGTGGCAATCGGCGCCACCTCGTCAAACGGCGGCAGGGCAGGGGGAGACGTCACGGACGCCGCGTTCACACTTCGCGAGAGCTCCACCACCAGCGGCATGCACGGCAACCCGTCAGTCTGGAAGTGGCGCATCTGCTGCGGCATCCGTCTCACACTCTCGCAATATTCCTTGAGCCGCAAGTACTGTTCCATGTTCTCGGCGTACCAAAAACCATGACGGTCCATCAGCACACGACAACGCAGTTTGTGGATCAGCTGCCAAACATTATTTGTGCGAATGAACGCGATAAACGACGTCTCGAAGCGCGGCTCAATAGCCACTACAGTGGCAATGTCAGGGCCACATGTTGCCTCAACCACGCGATTTAGGACAATAATGGTGCGATCCCTCAATTCACAAGGAAACATTTGAATAAACATTGGTATTAACTGGTTTTTATCCAATAATTTTATATTGTCAGCGTCGTGGAGGAGAGCAATATTCGAATTTTCTGTGCCCGTCATTCCGAAACTCTCGTCTACCTTTGGTGGTTCATTGGTGGGCAAAGCTGTCCCGTAGGGCACATACTTCAGCTTATCTTGCAGTGTACTGTAAACATTGGTGGATTTCCTGGGTACCTTGATAGGATACTGTTCTTTCATGGATTCAGCCTTAGTTGAGGCAGTTGTCGCAAACAATAACTGTTTTGAAATGGGGCGGTTACGAGTATTCGTCTGAGAAGAACTTGTAGGGTACTTTTTCCCGCCCTCATTATTATGTCCTATCGCCAGAGAACGAGTTCCATGGTCACGGCAAGTGTTAGTATTGTTGTTACTGTCACTGTTGCTGTTGCTGTCAACGACACGATTACCCTCAAAGAGAAAAAAACCCTCCTGTGAAACACCAGGATTTTTGGTGCTCAAATGCATGAGACGCTGTTCCACCGCAACCGGCGTTCTGCACGCTATACAGCTCCTTGAAAATGATGACGGGGTTTGACAAGACGCATTTGCAGAGGGGTACCTGGACGATATGACACCATCCGTATGTGGAGTGCCGCTATCAACATAGGGAATACCCACGCCTCCCACGGCCCAAGCCGCAGCAGCAACTGCGCTCGTGGTTGCGTTATTGGCACTGCTGGCAGCAGTATTAGTTGTGGTCCCTGGAACTGTGGTATGCTGCTGCAAAGTCATCAGTGATCGCGACTGCATAGGAACTGTGCCCGCAAGCTCAACCACAAGGGTGGGCACGTTGGCGTTAATACTATTGCCGGTAGGCGCACTATATGGTGTTGCGCAAGAGAAATTGTTCACCGCAGCTTCGACTGTAACAGTTGGTGATGCATCATCGCCGAACAAGTTACCTGCCACCTCACACGCCGTTCTCGATATATTTGTGTCACGCAGGTCCGTCACTGTCAGGAAAGTGGGAGTTTCCGTCCGGGCGTGCAGAACCTGCGACATGCCCAATACAGGTGACGTGCCCTGACCAAAGCCAGCCTCCGATGTTTCGGTTCCGTCAAATGTGCTTTCCATTACCAAGTCCCTCAGTGCTGGAAACTCAAATGCATTCCTGTATGATATAGGCGAGGGGCACTTGCTGAAATCATCGCTTTCCTGCTCAATCGCCGCCGTCGCCCCAAATGTGAACGATTCGTTCCACAACGTGGCAGAATCAACAGACCAACAACTTCCAGCACGGACTGGTGAAGAACAGGTGGATGCGGCAACATTGATGTGTTTTTCCCTATCCATTACTATCAAGGATTATCAATACGCTGACGTTTTTGTTTTCCCCCACCCCACCTCACCTTTTTTTTTTTCTTAATTGGCGCGTATGCAATTATGTAGGCACCTATATATTGACGTGTATGTGTGCGTGTTTGCGACTCCTTCGCGGTTAACGCGTCGTTGTTGTTGGCTACCTGCGTTTATTTGTCGTCTAATGGCTATGTTCAGATGATGTTCCGCCGGAGAAACAAACTACGCTGCAGATGATGGTGAGTAAAGTTGGGGAAAAAAAGGTTGAAGCATCCTCCCTTCACAAGGATGTGTGTGTGTTCGTTCAAATGCATGCATGCCCAAATATGCACACCTTTGGATAATTAAATGAACACATTTTTTTGTGCGTGACAAGATGCAGTTTGGATGAGTCGCGTCGACGCCGCAGCGGGCGCCCACGCTCTCTTCTCAGCAACTCTGATAATACCTACTGACAAATAATACGTTTTGCTGGTTTCATTCGTGTCGTTCATTCTTCCCCGTCTTCCCACCTATTTATTTATTTTAGCGCCGTTTCTTTCATTCATTCTTTTTTTTTTTTTAGAGATCGTTTGTTTTCTCCGTCCGTCTCGCTCCCCCGCCTCGTATCCCGCGTGTCGTTCCCTTCTCCCTCCAAGCTTCCCTCTTCTCGTTTTCCCCCTCGCCGCCGCATTCGCCGTGGCCCCCCACCGTTGCTGCTGCTGCCGTCGTCGGTATTTGCCCTCGCCGTGTCAACCAACACGCAACAGGACGTACGCGCAACAAAAAATGTGATGGAAAGCGCCCCACACGTGACGCAGCCGGCGCGAGATTGACGTGGCAGCGGCAGCAAGAAGGCAAAATACAACAAAACCTGCACACACAAAAAAGGTGGGGGATGACAAGTGCAAAATATATGCATGGTGCACACCTGCGCGCGTGGTGTACCCCAACGCTGCCGCGGCGGAGGGAAAGTCAAAATCGGGGGAGGGGAAACGAAGAGGAGGGAGGGAGAAAAACGACAACGCGACGAAGAGCGAAGGCAACCATCATCGGCACAAGGATGGTGATTGCACCCACCACCACAAAGGAGGGTCGGAGGGGGAGCGAGAGAAAGGGTGTGGCGGCGAACCAAAAGGGAGGGGTGGCCAAATGTCAAAGTGACTGCATGGCCCCAAGAAGAAAGGAGCACGAGAAGAGTAAACATGTAACCGTAACAAGTAACAAGGTGAGGGGGGCGGAAGGAGGTGGTCTCGGCAAAGCCGAGTAAAAAAAAAAAAGAAAAGACACAATAATAATAAAAGATCGAGGCCATTTCGTCATTGCCCACTCTCTCCATTTTTCCCCATGTACATGCCCCACTCACACACGCACACGCATGGACTGTAATTTACAGCCCGATTTTATTTGATGTTCGCCCTCAAGCTTCTACTGCTGTTGCCGCCACATTGTCGCAATGACTTCTGCCGGGAACCCCAGGAGGCCCGGTTCAGGCGTGGCCAAAACAAAACCAAAAGAACGGAAAAGGAACAAAACTGTTCGGGAGGGAGAGGGAGAGGAAACGACACAACAGAAAATGAAAAATACTGCCAACAAAAAGAGAAAAAAAGAAAAACGAAAAAAAA